GGGGGGCGGCCTGGGCCAGGGACCAGGAGGCGGCGGCGTTGAGGAAGGGCGCCTGCAGGTACTTGGCGGGCGGCGCGGCGAGGTAGCCGTAGTCGGCGGCGCCGCCGAAGAGGCTCTTGCCGGGCTGGAAGTGGGCGGCGGGCGGGCGGAAGGGGCGCTTCATGCGGCGCCGGCGGCGGTAGTTGCCCTTCTCGAACATGTCCTCGCAGGCCGGGTCGAGGGTCCAGTAGTTGCCTTTGCGCTCCCCGCCGCCCTCTCGCGGCACCTTGATGAAGCACTCGTTGAGGCTCAGGTTGTGGCGGATGCTGTTCTGCCAGCCCTTCTTGTTCTTCTCGTAGAAGGGGAACTTGCCGATGATGTACTGGTAGATGCCCGACAGCGTCAGCCGCTTCTCGGCGCTCTCGCGGATGGCCATGGCGATCAGCGCCACGTACGAGTAGGGCGGTTTCTGCGACGGGTCGCCCTTCTCCGACGACGAGGCGCCGCCGCCGCCGGCTCCGGCCGTCGCCGCCTTGCCGGGAGTCGGGCTCAGCTCGCCTTTGGCCCCCGCCTCGCCGCCCAGGCCGGGCTCCTTGGACGGGCGCAGCAGAGCCACCGTCTCCTCGGGAGGGGGGTCTTGGTAGCCCGTGGCCATCATGGCACCACCTGCCCCTGCCCCTGCTGCTGCTGCTGCTGCAGTCCCGGGAAGGTCTCTGGCCTCCAAGGGGATCCCCCGCCCCAGCGGATCGCGGCAGTGGCTCCCCAAGATCTCGCAGGAGGATCTGCTCCCCGCGCCTCTCTCGCCGGCCTCCTTTAAGCCCTGCCTGTGCCTGGTGGGCTTTTCAGTTCCCCCCTTGCGCGCTCGCTCTCTTCCCAGAGGCGGCCAGCCCAGCGTCGCCTCTGATCAGCAGGCTCAGATATCCACTCACTGCTCTTCGGGACTAGCTCTTTTCTGATTTGTATGGGCTCCGGCGAGTTCCGCTTTCGTCAGGATCGCTCGCGCGCTCACCCCCCCTTTCTCCCCCCCGCCCCCCCCCACGGGCGGGGAGCCAGCTGGGCACGGGCGAGTTCATGGCAAAGTCACATTGCACAAATCCACCCTGTGGGGGAACCAGACGGTTCAGCCAAAGGGGGTCCCAGAGCAAAGAGAAAGGGGGTGGGTAGGTAGGGGGGTGGGAAGTCTTCCACCGCCAGCGCGCAGAAATCCAACTTCTTCGCCGAAGCTGCCTCTTTTGCCGGCTCAAATGCCCCACGAAAATAGCTGTAAATGTGCCCGTTGCAAACCGGTTTCCTTTTGTCCTTGCGATCTTGCCTGAGGAGGTATGATCGTGCGTGGCGGTGGAAAATGGGCTGCAGATTTTAGCCAGAACTATTCGCCTGGAGAAGATAGCCCTCGGATTCGGCAACAGTCGCTCTGGAGGAAATGGGCTGAAAGGGCACTTGACAGAGCACCAACCCAAGAGGATGGCGTAATCCAGCGGCAACTCGGTTCACGCTTTGAAAGGCATTATGGCGCCTATGCGGGTAAAGAGCAGTCAACATTCGAAGTCGTACATTGGTTTGAAATCGACAGGTGTGATGGGGAGCGGCAGACAATATTGATGATTTCTATTTATAATAAGTGGCAGGGCAGTTATCCGACACATTTCTTCCTCAGAACTCTCTCTCTGTGTGTGTTTCTCTCTCTCTCTGTGTGTGTGTGCATAAAACTGGCCCCCAGTATGCCGTAGGTCTGGTGCACGTGTCTCGGTCCTTGCAACCGGATTCACGCCAGAAAAGCAAAGCAAAGTCCCCGCTGTTCTCCTGCTTGCTTTCTCCTGTCAAAATGTTTAAAAATATGTCATCCAGGTAACGTTTGTTTATCTCTAGGCTTCAAAGCCGGGAGTAAAGGCAGCGGAGACGTAGGAGGAACAGTCCTGGAATGTTTTCTGAGCGAGTACTACACGGAAGTAACAGCTAGGAGACGATATTGAGAGTGTTAACGGGGACGTTCTCTGTGCCTGTGACAGTAACTCCCCCCCTCCAGTTTACAGGGGCCGAGGAGGTCCTTCCTGGCCAATCCCAGGCTCAGGCCGGCCTTGAGATAGCGGCCTTTGCACGGCTTTGGACTACAGTCAAGTCGCCGCTGCTGGGCCCCCGGTTGCTGAAGCTTCACCAGGCGAGAGGGGTCCTCCTTCCCACGTTTCCGCACGACCTGCAAACAACTGCTCACCTTGATCCCAGCAGCCTTGTCGTGAACAGACAGACCCATCTGCTTTAACCATTAGACACCCTTGCTTACTTGGATGGGGTCGGTAGGAAAGGGATGGTGCGTCTGAGAGGACAGCTCGGATCGGGGCTTGGGTTTCCTAATGACAGTTATAGACTTGTCCCCACTTGGGAAGAAAAGTGGAAACTACCACACCGATTCTCACCTACACTTTGCTCATGGGATTTTTTTTTAAGAGCAGAGGAAGGTACAACGCTTGTCTCTCCCTTCTGTTATAGTGGCTGTTTTTGTCATTTAATTGCAGATTTTTTAACCAACATAGAGTTAGGCCCTTGTATCGGGATTGCTTGGCCATTTGAGCTTCGTTGCGTACAGCTTCGGCGGAATGTTTGCTCGTTTAATATCAAAACATTAGGCGCGGGGCTGAAGAAGATGGCCAGGCTCAGAGTAGTTGTGTGTCCCGTTAAACAGCAACAGGCCCTTGAAGTCAATCGGCCTGTCTTCCTCATGCACCGTATATTGTCAGTTTCCCAGTCATCTGCACCCCCACCGATTTGTGAAAGGACGGGCTTCCCGTGGAGATGGAACACATTCTTTTGCTCACTTGTCTTTGTAGTTCCCCATTGTAATGTGTTTCATATAGAGGTGAAGCAAATACCTGCAGGTTAAATGTCATCTAGAAGCATTCCAAAACATATTTATCTCGAAGTGTCACCCCGAGAAATTTATTTTCCTGTACCCGTAGATGAGTTATCGCAGCTTTAAAAAAACCACATGTTCAGATACCTAAACACCCATTTCAAAGCTGTGCCGCCCAAGCCGAACAAGTTTACTTACAAGTAAACTCATTGGTGCCCTCAAGGAAGCAGGCTGAGGTCTGACGCTATGAAAGAAGACTATTTTAATGAGCAGGTTTTATATGCTGAAGAGTTGCGGGGGAATGTGCCTTCTCTTTCGGGGACTGCCGGGGGTTTGAGCGGCATCGTAAGCGGGGGTCTCCGGGGGTTGCGGAAGAGGGATCCGCGCGTCCTAAAATGACCGGGAGGACGGCGCCGTTTGCACCGCCCTGCGCTGTTTCTGCGCCTCTCGGGCAGGGGGAGCGCTTTCGCGGCCTAGAGGCACCCGGAGTGAGAAAGACCAGAATGAGACGGACTCCCCGGGCTGGGTTTCCTTCCCTCGACTCTTCCACCACACGCGCTCTAGACTCTGTACTCGAAACCACCACACGGGCCTGAAAATCGCACGTCCCCTTGGTTGACGATCCCGGTGTTTCAGCTGCAGACCCTCCTCGGTCTAACGAAAGTCAAGACGTCACCGACTTCCGCGGCTTTGAGCTCCGACGGCGACCTTTCCCTCCTGCAGTTCGGCAAACCCCTCCGGAATCTCGAGCCGAGCCAGACCGAGAAACGGGCAAGTCTCTTCCCCC